AAACAAAAAAAAAAATAAACTAATAAAATATATACAATCAATTTAATAAAAAAAAAAAACTTATATAACAAAAAAAAAAAAAAAAAAAAAAAAAAAAAAAAAAAAAAAAAAAAAAAAAAAAAAAAAAAAAAAAAAAAAACACGAAATAAAAAAAAACTTTCAAGCAATTATTAATAAATGCAAATATTAGGGATGTTAAAAAGTCTATCTAGTCCGGTCCTATTGTAGTCCTTAAAAAGACCATCTTTAATCAGTTAGTACTATCTAACTATATCAGGTTTAATACAAAATATACGTGATTTAGAGTTAACCAATTAGAGTAAGTATAAAGTTATCAATCACCTAACTAGTTTTAAATTATGATACTAGTATTTAAAAAGTTCTGTTATTGATTCAAATTTATTTTTTTTTATTCGATGTATCAAAAAAATACTTTTTAATATCATGTGACTAGCACGTTAGTTCAGAACCAGTCTCGAACTAGTACCAGTTTAGATCCTAGCAAATATAGGCCAATTCAACAATTTCGTTAGTTAATACAAGTCATGTGATTTTAAGAATTATCGCTGAATTTTAGAATTCATACTAAATTCAAATGCTTCTATATACTATATACTCTTTTATTAACAACCCTAACCTTAACCTTAAATCCTAACCTAACTCTAAAAAAATGCACAACCTATAAAAAGTGTTATTTAAGCCAAAAAAATAAATAGAAAATAATAAGAAATGATAAACTGGCAAAGCACAAACCTACAAAAGAATAATTAAAAAAATTGAAAATATAAAAAACAACTAAAAATGAAGGCTATTTATTATTACACTTAGTATGCATAAATACAAAAAAGGAATGAAAGTTTCAAGTAGTGAAAGTCACTACTCCCAGTACTCCTGATAAAGAACAAACCTACAAAAGAAAAAAAAATTAGTTGAAAGAATTGAAAAATAGAAAACAACAAGGAAGAAAAGCTACTTATCACTACAGTCAAGTCCAAATCACCATTTTCGAACACAAAAAAGGAAAGAAAGTCCAAAACACCAAATCAGTGAAGAACAAACACAAGAGGGAAAATCACTACTCCTGGTGAAGAACAAATCTACAAAAGAGTTGAAAGAATTGAAAAATAGAAAACAACAAAAAAGGAAAGCTACTTATCACTACAGCCAAGTCCAAATCACCATTTCAGCGAAGCATAACACAAAAAGGAAAGAAAGTCCAAAACACCAAATCAGCAAAGAACAAACACAGGAAAGGAAAGTCCAATCACCAAACCCACAAAAAAAGGAAAGAAAGTCCAAATCATCAAACTCAGTGAAGAACAAACACAAGAAGGAATAAAAGTCCAAATCATGAAGAACAAATACAAGAAGAGAAAGAAAGTCTGAATTACCATTCCCGGAGAAGAACAAATCTACAAAAGAAAGAAAAGTTAGTTGAAGAATTAAAAAATAGAAACAACAAGAAAGGAAAGCTATTATTACTACAGCCAAGTCAAAATCACCATTTGCAGTAAAGCATAGTACAAAAAGGAAAGAAAGTCCAAAACACTAAATTGGCGAAGAACAAACACAAGAAGGAAAACCACCACTCCTGGCAAAGAAAAAACCTAACAAAGAAAGAAAATTAGTTGAAAGAATTGAAAAATGAAAAACAACAAGAAAGCTACTTTTCACTACAGCCAAGTCCAAATCACTATTCCTGGCGAAGCATAACACAAAAAAGGAAAGAAAGTCCAAAATACCAAATCAGTGAAGAACAAACACAGAAAGGAAAGTCCAATCACCAAACCCAGCGAAGAAAGAAAAGAAAGTCCAAATCACCAAACCCAGTGAAGAGCAAACACAAGAAGGAATGAAAGTCCAAATTACGAAGAACAAACACAAGAAGAAGAAGAAAGTCCGAATCACTATTCCCAGAGAAGAACAAATCTACAAAAGAAAGGAAAGTTAGTTGAAAGAATTGAAAAATGGAAACAACAAGAAAGGAAAGCTATTATTACTACAGCCAAGTCTACCATTTCTGGTGAAGTGCAACACAAAAAGGAAAGAAAGTCCAAAACACCAAATCAGTGAAGAACAAACACAAGAAGAAAAACTACCACTTCTGGTGAAGAACAAATCTACAAAAGAAAGAAAATTAGTTGAAAGAATTGAAAAATGGAAAACAACAAGAAAGCTACTTATCACTACAGCCAAGTCCAAATCACTATTCCCAGTGAAATACAATACAAAAAAGGAAAAAAAGTCCAAAACACCAAATCAGTGAAGAACAAACACAGAAAGGAAAGTCTAATTATCAAACCCAGCGAAGAAAGGAAAGAAAATCCAAATTACCAAACCTAGCGAAAAACAAACACAAGAAGAAATGAAAGTCCAAATCACGAAGAACAAACACAAGAAGAGAAAGAAAGTCCGAATTACCATTTCTGGAGAAGAACAAATTTACAAAAGAAAGGAAAGTTAGTTGAAAAAATTGAAAAATAGAAACAACAAGAAAAGAAAGCTATTTATTACTACAGCCAAGTCCAAATCACTATTCAAGTCAAAGCACAACAAAAAAAAGGAAAGAAAGTCAAGATCATTTCCAGCAAAGTATAAACTAGAAATATTAGCGAAAGAATTGAAAAAATAAAAAAAAACTACTACTTATCATTATAAGTTCCAAGTCCAGATCACAAGCTTACAAGAAAGAAAGATGAAAAAATATTTGACAGTACAATACATATAATTAATAATAGATAACAAATAACAGATAATCAAAAAAAAATACATAGCTGATGTGTACCCGTTCTAGATTTTTAGTTGTCAGAATTATTAACTATTGGGAATATTAACTGTTAGGATTTTTAATTGTCAGGATTTTCAATTGTCAGGATTTTTTTTGTCAGGATTATGACTTGTCAGGATTCTGCTTGTTGGGATTTTGACCCGCACCCCTTTTGTCAAGTCTTCTCCCAGGTTCAGAATTCATTCTAAAAATGAAAATGCACTTATTTTCGATATCCAAAACTTAAGTAATATCACAACAAATAATATTATTCTAGCACTTGCTTCAAAGCTCGAAGACAAATTAATTGTAGCTAAAGTCTATATTATCAAAGGCAAAAGAGCTTACTTAGAAGTAGTTTTCAATAACAAAGATATCCAAAAATATTATGAATACGAAGTAATTAATCTGTTCAAACAGACCCTCTTTGGCTATATTCCTATTAATTTTGGCCGCACTTTTCTCTCAGTTAAACTTAGAAATACTCCAATGGGAGATAAAGAAAAGACAAGTGCTCTCATTATGGAAGCCTTCCAGGATCTTGGTCTGATCACTTCAATTAAACTATTACTCTTTGAAGGAACTTCAGTCTGCTTAGACCAATAGATTATCTCTTTCGAAACAACAGATGATCCAGATCTGTCTTCAAGAATCTCTAGAAGAATGCACGTAGGAGATCATAAAGTCACTACAGACTGGAAAGAAGCTCCAAAAGTATGTTACTACTGTAAAAAGAAGGGACATATCAAAAAAGACTATGAAGATCTTAAACTCTCAATTGAAATAAGACGTACTCAAAAAGAGAGAAGAATGCAAAAAAACAAATCTAGCCCAAACACAACTTCAGAATTTAGCAAAGATAATCCTTATATCTCTAACTCTGCAGAAGATACTGAAAAGTCTAATGACTCAGCAATGCCAGAAAGTACCTCTACCTCTCCAGCTAACTTGAACCAACCTTCTTCAAAGTTACTTGAAGAAAACTCAGTTCAAAATAACTAAGAAAATACCTTAGAAACCCAAGAGCAAATGATTACTGAATCCTTCTCCTCCACTTCTTCAAAAGCTGTGAATGAGAACCAAAATACTGAGCAAGACTCAGACTCTATAGAAATCAATACAGATAGTGACTTGAAAGAGGAACCTTTCACTATCGCTATCTCAAAAAAATCTAGAAAAATGACAAAAAATGAGTGTTTAGTTTAGAAAAAGCTATAGAAGAGAACTGGGAAGATTACAAAGCAAAGCTAGACAACACAATTGAGGAGAAGCTAAGTAATAGGAAAAAGAAAGATAACCTAAACAGACTAAAAGCAATAAGCAAAGATGATTTGTAGGACATAATATTAGCTAGCATTATTAAGTGCGCTAAGGCTACACTACCAGTCAAAAAAGTCTCACTTGAGAGAATCAAGACAAAAAAAAAAGTAAATAAGAGTGATAGCATAAAGAGAGACTTGAAGAAAATTGGAAAAATATATCAGCAATGTGTAGCAGAAATTGGTCAACAAATCATTGAAACAAATAGAACTAACTTTAATTTACAGATAAAGTATTTAAACAAAGAATATAAAACTGAAATAGAAGAACTCTCAGAAAGGGTATGGTCTAAAAGAAGGCTCGAAGATTTCTATACATGGTAGAAGATTATATATACAAAAGTGCAACAAGCAAGAAAAAAAGAAGAACTAGAAGAGATAAACCAAGCAGTAGAATAACGTTGTGAGGCAATACAAGGAGAGCTCAAGCATATGATTAGTAGCTTACTCAAGAGATCCTCTAGATGAGTAGTTATAAACAGAGTCATAAAAAAAAACAATTCTGATATAATTATACTGAACCAAAAAAATGAAGTCTTAGAAGAAGTAAGAGATCACTTTCAAAAGCAATTTAAGAAAAGAAATACTCAAAGTACAAAAATGCCTAAGCAATGAAAAAAGCTTACAAACTTTTAGAGAAAGTAGATATAAAAATATATGATAGTCTAGAGAATGAGGTCTTCGAAAAAGAATAGACAGAAGCACTTAAAAAGACAAAGGCCAAATTAGCATCAGGCCTATCGAGTATAAGTTATCTACTAATCAAAAAAGCAGGTTCTACAGTACAAAAACTCTTTAGATATCTTGTGAATATATATATCTGAGAAGGAGAAATATCAGTTAAATAGAAACTAAGTCAACTGTTCCTATTTCTAAAAGAGAAGACTAGAATTTCAATTTATCTAACGTGTGTCCAATAGTCTTGATCAAAACCTTCTATAAGACTGTAGTAAGAGTAGTAACTCAGAGACTAAACAGAATTATAGTAGAACACAATGTACTAGAGAAAACAAATTATGCAGCCTGTCAGGCAACAGTATAGTGAGTCTAGTTTATATAATAAACAACATCCTAGAAGATATGAGGCAAAAAAACAATGAACTATAGATTTTGTTTCAAGACATATGTAAGGCATTTGATTTAGTAGGCCTAGAAATACTTAAAAATCATTAGAAAGAATAAGATTACTAAAAAAAACAACTAGTTTCATCCTGAGTCTTTATGAAAAAAGAAAAATAAAGGTCATAACAATCTTTGGTCTCGCAAAGTAATTTGAAGCCAAAGACAGTCTCAATTAAGGCAAAGTAATCTCATCTCTGGCCTAGTGCATTTTTTATGATCCACTACTCTGTGTAATTCAAGAAACAAAGAATTTAGGTTATGAAATGATAACAAAATAGCCAACAAATATTACATACAATTTTACAATAGAAATATCTTATTGACAAGCAGTTCTGGCTTATGCAGATGATACTACTTAGATAGCTAAGTCTAAAGAGGAGCTACAAGAAATTATTGATATCTCTAATAAGTTCTATACAATAAATAATATCGAGAATAATAGCAAAAAATTGGAGCTTATTATATTAAATACAAACAATAAGAAGTATTGAGGCAAAAACCAATTAGCTATCATCATAAGCAAGAACCAAAACAAGGTTTATGCAAAAAAAGAAACTGACCTAGCAAGACATCTTGGTATGTGAATTGAAAGCAAAAGAAAATCAAGTTTAAACCTAAGTATAATAAGAAATGAAGTTAGCAGAATGTGCAATGCAATTAAATAGAAGAAAGTATTTGTAAGTCAGCTGATATATCTGAACAATAGTATGCTTCTACTAAGTATCGAATACAAATTGCAAACAACATTTTTTAGCAAGGCTATTTGTAACAATTTGCAAAGACCAATTTGGATTCTAATTAAAAACAAATTAGAGTTAGCAAAATCTATAGCAAACTATATCTGTAGTTATATTAGATTTATGGGTCTAAGATCGATATGGCAAAACTAACTCATACACTACTTAACAGAACTAACTAAACATATAAATTAGCAGGAAGTATTAGGAAAGACTACTAGACTGAGAATTAAAGAAGGACAACTACAAATAAAATACCTAAGCAGCCTGATAAGTAAGACTTATAAGCCAAACAGAACAGCACCTAAACACAATTTAGCTTTAAAAATACTTCAGAAAGTAGCTAAAATAGATATTGTTACTAGATACTTCACTGAGAGGAGCTCTTCTTTTTCCATCTCTTATTTTTTTACTTTTCTTTTTGAAGTATACACTTCTTTATTGGTATTCTATATCTGAGTTTTTAGTGTCTGATACTTCATCTTTGCTTGATTCTGTATCTAAAGAGCTTAAGCTTTGCGTATTTCAGTTATAACTTTCTTTGTATGTCTTGTTATAATATGTTTTCCTTTTTTCTGTCTCTTTTTTTTACTCTCTATTATTTCATCTTTCTCTTTTGCCCAGTTGAGTCTAGTATTAGAATAAAATACTGCAAACTTTTTACTGTTTATGCAGTTCTTTTCATTTTTAAAGTATACAGTTGCACTTCTTCTGCTATTACTATTAGTGTTTCTAAAAATGTGTAATGCTTTAGTATCTATACATTTTACTTGTCTCCATATAAAGACTTCGTTAGTATCTTCTGACAAGTTGAGCAATTTTCTGTTGTATGTATTATATGCTTTCAACTCCTCAAGATTGCATTTTCCTACTGTACCCTAACTAGTTAATCCTTCATAAAAAGCAAGCATCATATCTCTGCTAAAACTCTTTTATTTGTTGTATTAGGAAGGAAACTTGCTTCTGCTCTTGTCTTATCATATGACTCTTTAATCATTTCTATATGAGCTACTCTTCTTAGATACCATATTGTTTCAAAAACCTGAGATCTTCTCACTCAGATCAGTAAATCCTATATTGTTATATAGTCTACATTTGTTTCTAATATTCTTTTCTTGTCTTGTTAGTTGAATATTAAATTGTTTTCTAATACAGCTGTATGTTTTAAGACAGAGTATTAAGATGTTTTCTCTTTTCTTTGTTTAAAAATTTCTTCAAGCTCTCTCTTTGCTCTACTTTTCCACTCAGCTTTGCTTTCTTCTTTTTTTGTATTATTTGGTAGTTTTTCTTGTAGTTTTTTAACTGTAGATATTTGCTAGGT